TTCTCTCATAGAGTTAAGTGTAATTATTATGAATAATTTAAAAATCCATCTAATTTTTTGTAGAAGGTCTGATATATAATTGGTTGTTAGTGGGAGTTGTTTTTGTTTGTAATTTGATTGTTGGGTTGGAGTAGCCCTAGTACTTCCTTTGAATATATTGTTGCTTATAAAAAAAGTCTCTGAAATGACTATTGATCATTCTCTTCTATATCTTTAACTTTGATCTCCGTGTCACTAATATGAACATAAAGAGACAAATTATAAATATAACCATCGCATATCCATTTATCATACAAAAAGAAAACCTTCCCACAACCAATCTTACAAATAAATTTAGCATTGACGACTTAGCTTTGACTATTGTACGCTAAATGTATGAAGAATCCTGAGTAAAATTACATACATTTTCTTTTCCTTTTTAATTTTATTTCAAGATCTCCCTCTTCCTCGTCAAACTTGCTAACAAATTCTTAAAAATATAAAGAGTATTAATAAATATCATTTTCTATATAGTTGTGCTCAAATCTAACTTTTCACTTACTAAAAAATCTGTCATATTAATAAAACGCATATTTAAATAATAAAAAATATAGTTAATAATTTAAAATTTAGCTTATATTTAAGAAAGAGTTTTTATAAATCTTATAATTATGACTTAGATATTGTATTGATAAATTTATTTCATCTTAAATCCAATTTATCACACGTCAAAGTTTGAAAGTTTAGTCAATATTTGATTTATAGTTTATAACCGTAGTTTTCATTTTCTTCAAGTGATTATTTTGAGGGAGAAATTATGTCAATAAACTATGTGTTCCTTAACTACTTTAAAGAATGTTAAGTATGTAGATGTGAAGTTGAACTAATATTTTAAGAAATGTATAAAAAAAATAAAATAAACTAAAACATATAAAGTCGTAAAAAACTTATTTTATTGATCAAACATTGCTAACTATTTACAAAGTGTGACATTTATAAAGGAAGTTGTCCCACTAGTTATATCCCTGTGACAAATAAACAATATTTTCACAATCGAATATTTATGTGGGTAATGCGTGAGTTGTCCCACTATGCTGATGAGGTCCAACAAGGCCCAATCCTTCTCTGTCGGGCACAAACCTCAATAAGACACATACGTCGAGCAGGGGACCTTCTTGACGGTCCCCTACACGGGGACACGTCATCAGGCAACTATCCACCTCCAAAAGAGTTTGTCAACCCACCTTCCGAAGATTACCGGGAAGTTGATCCAAGGCGAAGACCACGTGTTGGTCTTCACTACACCACGTAAGCTCTGAAACTTACTTGGACTGGACCTGGTAGTCTGGCCCAATACAATGTAACTGTTGGCCCTGCGCTGAGGGTACACTATAAATACCTTTGTTCACTAGAGGGTCAGGTATCTTATTCTCAACACTTATTTTCTATACTTGCTCTTTCTAAGCTCCATTACCCACTTAAGCATCAGAGTACCTTGCAAGTACACCCCCTTCTCCTCCATAACACCGATGAAGGCAACAACTCGCGACGCATGGTAGGCTACTGATCCCTTTCTGATAAGGTGAGATCAGTGGCGTCGACTCTAGGGATCTTTGCCTCCCCGTCCTTTCTCCTATCCTAGCATAACAGCTCAAGGACCAAGCAACTTCCAACATTCCATCCCGATCATGGCCATCCCACACAAAAAAAATGCTCCTAGATCTACCTTTACCCCCTTCTCCAACGGGGAAGGGCGCGACCCCAACGCGACTATCTACAATGAAAAAGGTGACCACAGGGACGGACGCACCGCCTCTCCCTCCTTAGAAGACGCGACTTTCAACACCGTCCAACGCTTGGATAGCCCAACTGTGTACCAGCCCATCCCGATCCCAATTGGCGCCTATCCTACCATGGCGGATCTTTTCGCAGCAATCAATCAAATCAACCTGATGATCTTCGAGCAGAACGAGCGAATAGAGATGCTCGAGAGGGAACGACCGTCATGTTCTCTCCCGCAGAGACACCGCCGCCCGATTTCCACCAATCATTCTCCTCTCCCACATAGACATCGTCGCCCAGCTTCCTTCAACCTGTTTCCTCCCCTGCAGAGGACGCGGTTCATAGAGGATTCTTGGAGTCCCTCTCTCTTGCCGACGGGGCGCCACCCCCGTTTGGAACGATCTCAGCAGCTGGTTTCTCACAAATGGGACATGTCACCTCTCTAGAAAGAGCGATGCTCCCCGACCCAAAAGAAGAGCAAAGCCGCAAGAGGCTCCTCCAGACCAAGAGCCCAGCCGAAGAGTCCTTCATGCCGAAATAGAAATAACCAGGGATCAACTTCCCCCTCGTTGTGGCCCATCCGGAGCGACAAAGATATTCAGCGCTCACCATTATGCAGGGCCATCAGGGAAGCTCCACTTCCTATCGGGATGGAAAAACCCCCGGTCTTAGAAACTTACGATTGCACGACTGACCCGGACGACGACATCAAAAGCATTGACGGATGCTAGATTACAGGAACGTTCTGGGAGCCATCAAGTGCAGGTTGTTCCCCACTACCCTGAGGATGGGAGCAATGGCATGGTACAAACGCCTCGCGCCCGACTCCATCACCTCTTAGGGTAAACTAAAGTGTCATTTCTCTAGGAACTTCACGGCTTCTCGCCGCCATCCGAAGACAGAGGCGGTCTTAAAAGCCATTATTCAGGGGAAGAAATGAGAACATTCAAACTAGTTCAAATTTCAACTGCTTGCTAGGAATTTAGGTAAGGGGGAGAATGGATTCAATAATGGGTATATGCTTAAGGGGTGGAGTTGAGGAGCCCTTAACCTCCAATAGATTTGTTTAACTCTGCATGTTTGATAGTGTTTGTATGTTTGATGATCACTTAGTGTTGTAGTCTATTTTTCATGATGAAATCATGTACATGTGTGTATGAGATTTTATGTTTTGATATGTTAATATGTTTTCACCATTGTTGGGTTTTGAGGATTTTGGGATCATGATAAATGTGGGGAATAATTGAGGATTATGCTTTCTAATTAATAGATATAGGTTGCGTGGTGTTAATATGTTGATTCTTTATTATTTTTTGATCGATTTGAGCACATAGAATGGAAAATCGTAGTTCTGATGTAAACTCCATAGCATAAACTTAATTCTGCATTATGCAGGTCGATGACGGATGCCATGACCATGACGGGTAACCTGTCATGAAGCCCAAGCTCAATTTTGGAGTCGGTCGTCACACATGTGACATGTTTGCGTTGTGATGTCCATGGCGAGCGTCATGCCCGTGACGAGTAACCCGCCACGAGGCTTAATTGGGCGTAAATACTTGTTTTGATGATGTTAAATTGCATATTTCGAATTTTCAACTTTTGTAGATTGTTTGGGCACTGTTAGGCTCTGTTTGTGCTGAGATAAGGTGAAGTAACAATTAAAAACATTTTAATTGAAAAATTGGTGATTGATGAGAGTTTTTATGTTATTTCAAGTATGAGTTATGAGTTGTGATGTTGCCATGATGTTTGAGATGTTAATTATGATGTCAGCGTTGTTACATGTATGAGGTAATAACATGAATGAAGAGAATTATTGCATGCTTGAGTTGCACCGAGTTATATTATATTGTGCATATATGAATTGTTGTTGTGTGATAATCTAGAAAGGGGATTATTTGTGTTGTCAATACATTCTATTAGGATCAGAGAGGGGTTTTAACACATTTATTTTGTTGTGCATTGATGTATATGAGCATGCATCATTGAGTTGTGTCATGAGTCACTGATTTCATTTTATTTAGAGAACAAACATGTTGTTTTGAAGAGTATTTTTATAACTATTTCTGCTGCTATTTGAATAATTATTTAACTATTTCGTTGAGGTAGCACTTTAATTGCCATATAAATCTCTTATATAAGTATCGGGTTAGGGTGTTACACTCTGTCTGAGTTTTGAGGTTGATTTAATCATTTTAACTATTAATTTTTGTTCAAATAATATCAACAATATTAATTTCTGGTGATGTGTCATATGATGTGTAAAATTACATTGCCATTATTAAGTTTCTCACCTATACTTTACAAAATTTGAAGGAGATACTAGAGAATATTACCAAACTTGTAATATAGATAATCACGACCTTCTGTAAACAAGCAACAATCAATATCTTGAAGATAGGCACATAAAAAAAGTCATGACTAGTTGTTTTATGAGAGATTTGAAAGACAATTATTTTTTTTGAATATCAAAGAAATATGATTTGGCATGAGAGATAAGAGAGATGACGACGATTATGGTGTGATAGATGAAGGATTGAGTGGTGGTTGAAATGTTAAAGATGATGAATCCTATTTATTTGACAAATAAAAAAGATGGTTGTGCGGCGATAAAAGAAAATTTTAAAATTTTAATAATTTAATGAACGATTTAGTGACAAACTAAAAAGATATATAAAATATTACTATCTATATGATTTTTAAGAAGAAACGTATATCTCTTGACAAAAAAGATTTTATTGGATGATTCATTTTCTCCTAAACAACAACAAATGTATGTGCTTGGTGTAAAAGAAACTTATATATACATATAGACTAAAAATCATGACTTTGACTTAAAAAAAATTAATGAAAATGACAAATGTGAAACAAGTTAGTTAAATAAAATGATGAATATATTATTTGTTTTTAGTAGAGTATAATTATATAAATATATAGTTTGTTTTTGATATTTTGTTGAGAGTGAGAGGTGTTTGTTGTTGAGTTGAGTCCCCAATCACCGAGATTCTCTCTCCACACTTTTCTTTTCTGTGTGTCCGTTGGAACCAAACAGTTCTCTTTCTCTCTCCTTTCTTTGTCAAAGAAACACACAGACAACACACCAACACACACTCTCCTTCTTTTTCTTCACTCTCTCCCACCTCTCTTTACTCTCTCTCTCTCTCACACATTCCTCTCTTTTTCTTCTTCCACCGTAACATGACCATACTCTTTACAATCACACACCATTTACGGTTATGAATCCCCAACCACAAACTCAACAACAACCACCACCACCGCCATTGTTACCACCACAACAACAACCACCTCCACCGCCACAGCTACAGCTACAACCAAACCGTCCCTCCACCTCCTGCGACATCCATCCCCAAGAGACTTTCACCGGCTTCTGCCCTTCATGCCTCTGCGAACGCCTCGCCGTTCTCGATCCAAACAACAACAACGCCTCCTCCTCTTCCACCTCCAACCGCAAACCCCCTACTTCCTCCACTGCCGCCGCTGCACTTAAAGCCATTTTCCGTCCCTCCACTTCCCAACGCAATAACCGTCCTCCTACTTCAGCTTCGTCCAACTCACTCTTCCCTGAACTCCGCCGCACTAAATCCTTCTCCGCCTCCAAAAACGAAGGGTTCTCCGGTACATTTGAGCCTCAACGAAAATCCTGCGACGTTCGCGGTCGTAGCACGCTCTATTCTCTCTTCAATCAAGCCGACGAACGCAAAATCCCCAAAACTGAACCTCCACGTCTCCTCCCTGAGCTTGATACCAGAAACCTAGCTTCATCGTCTACTGTTCAACAACCGTTCATCGAGTCTGAAGAACACGAAGACGAAGATAACATTGTCGTTGAAGAAGATTCAGACCAAGACGAAATTAGGGTTTTAGAACCGCCACAACCACTGCAACAACGAGAGCGAGAGCTTTCCAATGTGATTGAGGAAACTTTTCACGAAATCGTAGAAGAAGAGCCTGATTTTCAACTTGAACCGGAACCAGAGTTAGTTTTTGCTGAAGAAGATACCTTGAAACCGATGAAGGAACACATGGATCTAGATTCACAGGCGAAGAAAAGTTCAGGTCGAGATTTAAAGGAAATCGCCGGAAGTTTCTGGTCGGCGGCTTCAGTTTTTAGCAAGAAGCTTCAGAAATGGAGGCAGAAGCAGAAAGCTAAGAAGCGAGGTCCTCGAAATGGCGCTGTTTCAGGCTCATCGACTCTATTGCCGGTGGAGAAGCCAATCGGCCGTCAATTTCGGGAAACTCAGTCAGAGATCGCGGACTACGGCTTCGGCCGTCGTTCCTGTGATACTGATCCACGATTCTCGCTCGACATAGCTCGCATGTCGTTTGACGATCCTCGTTACTCGTTCGAGGAGCCACGAGCTTCTTGGGATGGTTATCTGATTGGAAAGACATTTCCCAGAGTGCCTTTACCTACTATGCTTTCTGTTGTTGAAGATGCTCCTGTTCATGTTCAAAGAACTGATTCGCTTATACCGGTTGAGGAGCCACCGCTTTTGAATGAGAATGGTGAAGAGAATGTCAATATGCCTGGTAATTCGACTCAGACGAAAGAGTATTACTCTGATTCTTCAACCAGGAGAAGGAAAAGCCTTGATAGGTCTAGTTCTATTCGGAAAACCGCAGCTGCTGTTGTTGCTGAAATGGATGAATTGAAACCTGTTTCTAATGCTAAGGTTACTCCTGCTACTGCTAGTGTTAATGTTAACGCTAATGCTAGTGTTACTGTTAATGCTAATGCTGGTGTTGATTATTTATTACATGGACAGAAAGTTGATAGGGATTTGAGGGATTATTCAAATAATTCCAATTCTAATTCAAATAATTCCTTGAGGGATGATTGTTCTGAGAGTTTTGAATTGGGGTATAGAGATAATGCTTCTGTTGTTGGGAGTAATAATGGTTATGGTGATCGTAAAGGAGGGTCTAAGAAGAGTTCGAGTCGATGGAGCAAGGCGTGGAGTATTTGGGGCTTTATACATCGTCGTGGTGGAGGAAATAGTAACAAAGAGGAGGAAGATGATAGGTATAGTAGTAGAGGAGGTAACGGTAATGGGGTGGAACGTTCTTACTCGGAGTCGTGGCAGGAGTTTAGAGGGGAAAGGAATGGGGATGTTAGAGGTGGTGTTGGAATTGGTAGTATTGGTGGTGGTGGTGGTTTGAATAGGAAGATATTGAGGAGCAATAGTAGTGTGAGTTGGAGGAATGCACCGAGCATGGGAGGAAGCATGGGTGGTGGAGGAGGAATTTTCAGCGGGAGGAAGAGTGATGTTCAGAGTAGTAATGGGTACCTTGGAAGAAAAGCAAGGGATGAGTTTGTGTTGGAGAGGAACAGAAGTGCGAGATACTCTCCTAATAACAATATGGATAATGGCGGTCTCTTGAAGCTCTACTTAACGCCTGGTGGCCGGAGAAACGGTGCTTCGAAAGGAAGGTCTAATCAGGCACATTCTATTGCTAGAAGTGTACTTAGGTTGTATTGAAAGAGAAAAAAAAACAAAAAAATTGAAATTCCATAAGGTGTTCTTTGGTTTCATGTTGTTACATTTGCTGCATTTCTTGTGTAAAATTAACACATGGCTATGTATTCTTCATGGTTGGTTGGTTGGATTGGATAAAAACACCCTGCATTTTTCTTTTACAGTAATTGGCAACACTGCTTTTTAGATTAAATTATATTAGATTACTTTCAATAACAATGTTTCTTTCTTTTTAGACTAACCATATGCTGATAATATTGCTAATCTCTGGTTTTTACCAAACAAGATATTATACTTGATGATTTTAAATGGATGAGTCTTATTTCTTGTTACATGGTGTTGTGTATGTTTGGACCAGCAAACATAAAATCAGCACCTTGAACCATTATAATTTTGCAAAATTTACACTTCGAAATATACCAAACATGCACGCCGTTTGTTTTATTGCCAGAAAAAAGCAGAGGAATATGGTTTGGCAGTATGGTGCCACTGAAAATTGTGCTCTACTTTGGACAGGATGTGTTTCATTTTTGTGTCTTTATTCTGCAAAAGCTTAACTGATTGGTGCAATGTTGGGTTTATTTTTTATAATTTGGGAGCATTTTAACTTGAATTTTTGGAATGTTATGCATTTCTGCAAAAGTGATAACAAGGTGGGCTCAAGCCACCTGGTTTTGCTGCTTGTCATAAGTTGTAGTTTTGAGTACAACACCACAGATAGCTGTTGTATTCCAAGAGTGCTTTTTTCTTGCTCGGTTGGTATCAATTAACCAAAACTTTATTTACATGTGACTTATTTCAGACAATGGTCCCAATTAAAACATTACCTTATTAGCTTTGTGTTATATCTACATATTCATTCATTACCTTTATGTCTATTCCTTGCTGGCTGGTGTGATGGAAAGATAATTTTGATGCTTTCAAAAGTGTTTCAATTCTGTATGCCAATTTTCTGCACTCTTGTCTCTTGTTATTTTTTTAACTCTGTGCCGAGAAGCATGACTCAAGATAGAATATTACGACGAAAGTTATCTATATCACCAAACTCCACTTAGTAGGATAATACTTGGTTGTTGTTGTTCTTCTATTAGGATTGATGTTACTTTAATATGATTCATAAGGTTTTTTGGCCTAGCCATGCAACTTATAAAAAACAGAACAATTTTGTAGATTTGTTTTAATGTTGGAGCTAGTTATTTTATTTGAAACAAGAATATATTGGTGCATGTGGAATGAAAGGTCAACATCATTTGAAGCTTTATATGAATTTCCTTAATGTAAGATTTGTTTGCATATAAGAAAAAATAGCAGGAATCTAGTCCTTTATTGCTTTCCATAAATATTATTTTGTCTGAATTTTTTTCTGTTCTTCATGCATAGTACTTCAATGTTTCTTCTCTATATTTTATTGATAAATCCGGAATATTTTCAGTTACTTTACTTTGGAATTTGATTGTAATGAAAAATGTCTCTGCTGGCTTTGATCTGGTTGATTATTTCAGAATTTATTGGGTTGTTTAATTGATTCTTTTGATTTGGATATTACTTATTGGGAGGTGTGTTCTATTATATATAGATTAACCGATCATCGATCAGATTCTGGTTGTCTCATAATCATGTAAATTATTTTTTATTTTTGGGTAGAACAAGCATGTGTAAATTCAATGGGAAGATATAATTTTGATCAATGTTTTGAACGATTTGTGTATATTTAAGTCATTATTTACTTCTAAAGTTTAAATTCAGTTTAATCTAAAAAAAGGAAATGAAATCCATTGCAATGAAATTTGGCCGTATTTACGAATTTTTTCAATTGTTGGATCAACATCAAACAATTAAAATTTAAACAATATTTTTAGTTTATATCAAATAAAAAATATTTAATTTAAAATTTTGACCGTTTAATATTAATTTAACATAAAAAAAATATCAAAGGAAATAATAGTCCATTATAGAAAATAATAGTCCCTTACCTTCATATTAAGCGGGTATAAGAAACATATCTATTTCATCTCATTCACACACACATATATCATTATTAAAAAGATATATCATTATTAAATTATTACGCATTTTAATATAAATTTGTTTATTGATGGAGCTCAGATAAAACTTGAATATTATGGGAGCTTGATACTAAGAGAGGTGGGTTTAGAGAGGTTTAGAGAAATGAAGTGTGCAAATGTGAATGAGGAAAATGACAAAAAAAATGTAGAATTTAAAATTTGTATAAGAGATTCAATTGATGAGATCGAAAGTTAAAAGGTTTTGATGGTTGAGAATTAACATGAAGTTTGATTTGAGTTAAGTTTAACGTCAACTTGAATCAAAATGATAAAATAAATTTTATTCGAGTCAAGAAAGTTTTTGATTTGAGTTAAGAAGATTTTTTATATGAGTCACAGGTTTTAAAAAGCTTAGTAATGTACACTTTGATTCGAGACAAGAGAATATGCGACACAAGTCACATATCTTGAGTTGAAATATTTTTACAAAAAATTTCATTTGACTCGATTCAAGATTTATGTGATTCGAATCACAATTCAAAACACTTTCTTGATTCAAACCATGACAATCTTTGACTAGAATCATTCAACACAACAACAACAAAATTAATGATAAATTTTAATGCTTGATACAATTGTATTGAAAAATATGATTTTAATGAAAAGAAAAGTTTTAATGTGAATGAAAATGGTGCAAATAATATATTTGATGCATATGAAAATATATTAATGATCATGATATATGTTATTCACATATAACACAATCAAATGATCACACATGATAAATAAAAGTTCACACAAGAGAAGCATATCTGACAAATTTATAATTATGATAAATCAAGCACGACTATAAAGTGATTTAGAAATTAGAACGATCATACCTACTGATATAATTTATTATGTAACTTGTTGCACAAGTAAAGTTGGTATATAACAAACACTTATGTAGCAATGAAAATATTTCATAAAATATGATTGAATACGTCTTTCTTCACTTGTCTTGGAGATCCACTAACAAGAAACGCTTGTCCTACTCATGATTCTCTAACACTTTTGTATCATATATCAATGAAGTAACACGAGTACGCAATTGGAGTTTGGTCTTTTGGGTTAGTAACTAGATCTTTAGGTACTTATGTCATGAGACCACTTGTAGCTTAGACATTCCTCATGTGACATTGAGGGCTTTATATGACATTTTCACAACAATAGTGACAAATCGCTTAATGAGAATATTCTTTCTATTTTCTTAGTGACAAACATTTTTATTATTACGTTTTCTAGATTTTTCCCTTTATCACTTTGACTTGTAGAAGTAACACTAATTGGTCTTACAAATATGCTAATTGTAATTTTAAGTTATCATTTTTAGGTTTTAAACTATGACAAGTATCACACTCAACTACAACTATATTTTTTCTAAATTGTTAGAGATACACAACTGGTAAAGGAAGCGTAAAGACCTATACCTACAAATAGAGGATTAAGACTTGGACTTGGTGAAGTTGGAAAGAAAGGTCGTTATAAGCTTTATGGAGTTTAGACAAAACCTTTGGAGAATAAAGTATATGAAAAGGTGGATAGTGAAGATTGAACCCCTTTTACAGCCCTTGGGGTAATCAATAACCTTTTACTAGGTATATATCAATTGTTGTAAAAAGATTCTCTCATCTCTAGCACGTGTAAAGAACCTAGATCGATTAGGATTCCACAAACAAACTCATCATTAACTATATCTAATGTTGCAACCACACTAACCTTAACTTACATTTAAGGATTCACCTCAACTTACATTTGAAGATTCATCCCATGTTCTGCTTGAGGGACTTGCCTTAAGTTTTGCTTGAGGCACTCTTCCCGAGTTCTACCGAAATTATATTCCTCAGGGGATATATGTCGAACGTGATATCCTAGACAACTAGTTTGACAAGATAAACCAGAATCACCATAATTAACACATGTTCAATTGTACGAGATGATTGAGCAAAATAGAAATAAAGAACACAATAATTGGTAACCCAGTTTGATGCAACAATACCTGTGTCTGGAGGGTTGTCTTCCAACTAGAGAAAATAAATTCACTATTAGTAGTTTAGTACAATTAGTCTTATATGAACCAACAAACCTTATGTTGTTCAATGCATCTTCATAACACTTCCAATGGCTTTCTGATTTAAGACTCCCCCTAAATATGAGACCCCTTATCATTTTCTCTCAATCACTAAACCCTAGTGATCAACTTCAATTCACAATATTGAATGTTGATTTACAAATCAACTAGACAAACCTACAACTAGCTAAGTTACTGAAACATAATGTGGTATACATACATCAATAAAAAAGATTCAAATAAACTCTAGCACTTTAAAATCTTTAATGTATTGCTTGCTTTCTAATGTAGGTTTTGAGCTCCTTATATAGCAAAAGTATATTTGACTTTTCTCCTTGGGTCTTTGATTTAATTTCTTCCAGAATCTTTTCACAAATCTTTTTGATGAGATTTGTTCTAAATATATCTCCAACATAAAAATATGATTTGGTTTGTTTCAAATTCAAAATTAAATCACATTTAAACCTGGTTTAATCTTCACAGTTGTCCAACAAATCATATAATCATATAATCATATTGCTAAATAAAATCAATAAAATTTAACTAAATCTTTAACAGAAAATTTGTCCTGAAATGCAACAATCTGGCCTATTGAGCAAGGCCCAAATGTCATACCTACATGTTATGACATCACGTCCATAACGTCACTCTTCTGCACCAAAAAAATCATCTTGAAGTAGATTGGAAAACTTGAGCACTTTTCCATGTTGTTGTTTTCCAAAATACAACCAATCTAAAATGAACAACATTTACTTTAGGGTTTTGCCCCATGTTTTTCCTAAGGGACTCTCCCAAACGTGAATATTGGAGGCAATCGAACTAAAAAAATTTGCCCTTTACAAACTTTTATGCTTAGGGAAATGTGTACAAATACCACATATCTTCTA